AGAAACATATATGTGACATACATGCCAGAAACATATATGTCACCTACATGCCAGAAACATATATGTCACCTACATGCCAGAAACATATATGTCACCTACATGCCAGAAACATATATGTCACCTACATGCCAGAAACATATATGTCACCTATATGCCAGAAACATATATGTCACCTATATGCCAGAAACATATATGTCACCTATATGCCAGAAACATATATGCGACCTATATGCCAGAAACATATATGTCACCTATATGCCAGAAACATATATGCGACCTATATGCCAGAAACATATATGCGACCTATATGCCAGAAACATATTTGCGACCTATATGCCAGAAACATATTTGCGACCTATATGCCAGAAACATATATGCGACCTATATGCCAGAAACATATTTGCGACCTATATGCCAGAAACATATATGCGACCTATATGCCATAAACATATATGTGACCTATATGCCAGAAACATATATGTCACCTATATGCCAGAAACATATATGTCACCTATATGCCAGAAACATATATGTCACCTATATGCCAGAAACATATATGTCACCTATTTGCCAGAAACATATATGTCACCTATATGCCAGAAACATATATGTCACCTATATGCCAGAAAACATATATGTGACCTATATGCCAGAAACATATATGTCACCTATATGCCAGAAACATATATGTCACCTATATGCCAGAAACATATATGTCACCTATATGCCAGAAACATATATGTCACCTATATGCCAGAAACATATATGTCACCTATATGCCAGAAACATATATGTCACCTATATGCCAGAAACATATATGTCACCTATATGTCAGAAACATATATGTCACCTATATGTCAGAAACATGTCAGAAACATATATGTCACCTATATGCCAGAAACATATATGTCACCTATATGCCAGAAACATATATGTCACCTATATGTCAGAAACATATATGTCACCTATATGCCAGAAACATATATGTCACCTATATGCCAGAAACATATATGTCACCTATATGCCAGAAACATATATGTCACCTATATGCCAGAAACATATATGTCACCTATATGCCAGAAACATATATGTCACCTATATGCCAGAAACATATATGTCACCTATATGCCAGAAACATATATGTCACCTATATGCCAGAAACATATATGTCCCCTATATGTCAGAAACATATATGTCCCCTATATGTCAGAAACATATATGTCACCTATATGCCAGAAACATATATGTCACCTATATGCCAGAAACATATATGTCACCTATATGCCAGAAACATATATGTCACCTATGTGCCAGAAACATATATGTCACCTATGTGCCAGAAACATATATGTCACCTATGTGCCAGAAACATATATGTGACCTATATAACAGAAACATATATGTCACCTATATGTCAGAAACATATATGTCACCTATATGTCAGAAACATATATGTCACCTATATGTCAGAAACATATATGTCACCTATATGTCAGAAACATATATGTCACCTATATGTCAGAAACATATATGTCACCTATATGTCAGAAACATATATGTCACCTATTTGTCAGAAACATATATGTCACCTATATGTCAGAAACATATATGTCACCTATATGCCAGAAACATATATGTCACCTAGATGCCAGAAACATATATGTCACCTAGATGCCAGAAACATATATGTCACCTATATGTCAGAAACATATATGTCACCTATATGCCAGAAACATATATGTCACCTATATGCCAGAAACATATATGTCACCTATATGTCAGAAACATATATGTCACCTATATGCCAGAAACATATATGTCACCTATATGTCAGAAACATATGTCACCTATTTGCCAGAAACATATGTCACATATATAAACATATGTCACATATATGCCAGAAACATATATGTCGAAATTATTAAGGTGAAGTTGTTTTTTTTTATTTACACATTCATTCATTTTTCAGCAGTGAAAACTCCTAAGATGGTTCCAATATTTTTACTGAGGTAAAGTTGGTTTTATATTTGCACAATTTTTTTTTTTTTTAACCGTGACAACTTAAGACACTAGAGCCATAATATTATTATTGAGGTAAAGTTTGTTTTATATTTGTACATTCGTTCATTTTCTAACATCCCTCTCCGCACCACCTACACTCATCAATGCTACCAAGCTGACCAGTCACAGAGCTTGCGCTATGCATTGTCTCAACATGTAGTTACATTTTTTGAGAAGTCAGCATCGGCATAAGTCATAGCGAGGGGTATGCGAATGCGTGACGGCTGCGCCAGGTCATATGCTGCGCTCAACGTAGAAGTTTAGACTGAGCGTGGTCAAGTGACTCCACACACGGTAGGGAAAGTAATTTAAAAAATGGATACCTGGAAAAATTTGATCGATTATAGGTTCTGAATGTCGATTACTTTTCGATTCTTCACTCAGCCCTAACTCAGGCCTTTGTTAGCGCAGTTATAAACGCCTGACAGGCTTATCGGCAGTCTGACATGAAGCAGAGCACCGTTATTAAGACCGAAAGGCTTTATTCTGCAAAAACAACCATTCTGGATGTACTTTATCTCGCTTATTACATGGATACTTGTCACAAAATATAAACATGAGACTCAAAACAATGTTTTGTGCCATAATAGTTTATTATTCTTTAATTAAAATCAAATCTGACATCTACGAAAATGGCTGAACGGAGTATACGCTAACCTGCGCATTGTTCAGTCACAAGATGGCACCAAACATGCCATTGGCTACATTTACATGCACCCAAATAATCTGTTGGTAGTCGAATTGATGGTTAAATTGGATTAGAAAAACGTTACTAAACACATGATCAGATTTTATTTATATTCGCAAATTCGTTTATTTCCTAACAGAGACAACTTGTGACACAGTCCCTATAATGTTATTGAGGTAAAGTTGGTTTTATATTCGCACATTCGTTAATTTTAAACAGTGACAACTTATATTTTATCATGCTACTTTGAATATTCGGTTTGAAATCGCATGCAAGAAGGACTTCAAAACAGCGTTAGCACTATTTACCTGACTGTAAAAATGTTTGCATTTTGATAGTATATATTAGATAGTATAATGTAGGCTGCATTTTTAGTCATTACCCCAGTTTATTTAGTATGTAAATTATCAAGGCCTACTTGACAGCCTTTACAGAAAGCAAAATCTACTGAGCTTCATGTCTAGATCATATTTTATTTGGCACAATAGCCTATCCATTAAAATAGACATTATTTTAAGCATCAAACCACAGAGAGCTGCCAAAGTAAACAATATATTTTGAGTATCAGAGGTTTTCTATCCACACAGACAGCATTTTTTGACATGAAAGCCAATCGGGCTGACTAACCTAGACTGCCATTTTAGGACAAGCTGTCTACGTAGGGAGCTCGTTATGTGTTGAGCCACGGCCAGTGTGCATGTACAATTGAAATGAATATAAATGAAGTTGTCAGAAGAAGCAGGGCGTACATTACAGTCAGTAGCAGGTCAGAGAAGGACCAATGAATTACACTGTCATTATCAAATATCAAGTTGCTAAAAGGTCCAGTCATGGTCATGTCAGATCCACCTGTCCTACAGAGAAAGCTCTACTGTTAGCACAGATCCGCTAACGGGACAGCTGATCTCTGTCACTGGCAGAGCATGAGCAAAACAGCAGAGCAGAAATAAAAATACATGCGTTTACCAACCTTTAAAGCATGCGAGACCTGCGCCATCTGAACTCCTTACAGTGCGTTCTCTTGGCAACACACACACACAAGCGCCCTGGTGGTATTATTATTTACCCAAACCCCCAACAGAACACAACACACTCGGAAGTGAGGGCGAGTCCCGCAACAGAGCTGGCGCAGAGTGCATGATCTGCATACCATGGGTCATATCAGAGTGTGATGCACAGATGGTTTACAGATCAGCGTCCGCACGCAGCTCGTTTTTCTTTGATCGTGACGTAACGTAACGTCGTAACGTAAAAGTCATTTATTTATTTATTTATTTTTAGGTTTTTTAAAATCATTTATTGTTGGAAGGCTTTTATAATGTCTCTTTGTTTAATTGTCATTGTTATTTCATTCGTTTGTTTAATTTTGTCTGTTAAAATGTATTTTTAAAGATAATGATAATCACAATATTAATAATGATCAATATTTGTTATTATTATTATTCTGTCCGTTTAAATTGTATTTAATATTTTATAATAATATTAACTATAATAACAATAATACTCAATAATAATAATAATAATAATAATAATAATTATTATTATTATTATTATTATTATTATTATTATTATTATTATTATTATTATTATTATTATTATTATCATTATTTTTACTTTCTGTCTAGGAGTATGTTATTTGTATGCATATCTATGATTATAGTTTTTCTTATGTTGACTGTGTATGTTAAAGACCTTTTTTAAAGATCTGTGCATGATCCATTGCATTTTATTCTGATGTTCCTGTCAATTCATATCATGTTCCTGTCTGATATCAATTCAATACACCTATTTTTGCTAAATTGCTTCATTTAATACATTTTTATTTAATAAATAAATGGGTTCATTTGACTTTTGTGAATTTTGATGTTTGATATGAATTTGATTTTCATCTTATATCACATTAAATATATTTCCATAGTTCATGTAACTTACTGATGAATTTACATTTTTTATATTTATGTTAATAAATATTTATGTTTATTTAGATTTATGTTGTTCTAGCTAAAGTACAACATAAAAAGTTCATGCAAATGTACGTTTTGTTTTGTGGTTTTTATTGATTGACTGGAACTCATTAAACATAATTTAATTATTAAAGTGATTCAGTAATATTTTACCCAGGAAAAAATAACTGGTTTTATTAGTTTTCTTGTATATATATTCCCATTTTACCATATTTTCCCTAGACTGTACTGAACTTCATGTCCCAGGATGCTCTTCACAGCGTGATGTCATTCACCGGCGTCCGCTGCGGCAGCGCTGACTGTTTCCATCAACACAGAAAGACTGACAATCAAAAGGTACTGTATACATTCACCTTTTGCCAGTAATTTTGCAAGCAAATAAATATTTTAAACATTGTAAATAATAATGAAACGTAAATAAACATTCGGCAGCAATTATATGTTTTAGGGGTTAGCAAATATTGCTGCTCGCTAAGACATTTGACTATCGGTTGCCACATTCATGATGGTTCTGTATTTAAACCATTTTCAGTCTTGTAATTCTTATGCAATTATTTCTACAAAACGTTTCGACAACGATTCGTTGTTGTCGTATTGTGATCTTGAACGAAACAGTCTAGTCCATAAATATCTTAAACAGCACAGTTTACCCAGTAAAAACACTTGAGTATATTTTTAGAGGTCTGACTGTAGCTTGAAAAGATACCAAATTTGGAAAAAAATTCTTTGTTCAAGATCTAAAGAACTTCCAGTTACATAAAACCCCCAATAAATGCAGGTTAGGTTCACTACTTTATAAATTTTACTTTATAAATAGTGATTAAAGGGACAGTTCACCCAAAACTCTATAATAATTTGTAATATTTGTGTAATAATTTACTCCCCTAAACTTGTTCCAAACAAGTTTTTCTTATGTTGAACCAAAAAAGGGAAGGTAACCATTGACTTTCAAATATATATATATATATATATATATATATATATATATATATATATATATATATATATATATATATATATATATTATGGAAGTCAATGGTTACCTGTTTTCAGCGTTCTTCAAAATATCTTCTTTTGTGTTTGGATTAGAAAAAACTCTTATAGTTTTGGTTCCACTTAAAGGGCACCTTTGATGAAAATCATCTTTTGGAAGCTGTTTGGACAGAACTGTGTATAGTTAAGTGTGTCTACAGTCATATTGGGGTGATACAATAAGTCTCTTTTATTTTTTGTTGTTAAGATAGGACGTCCCCAAATCCCTCCTATTGTGAGGCCCACTGCAACGTGACATAGGAGTGTGGTTTCCCAGCCCACAGAATTGATTGACATTTGTATATTAACCTGTCTCCATAGTAACGCATATAATCATATCAACAAGACATGCGTAAATCAACTGGGATTAAAAGATCTGTTCAGAGCTCTGTGATCATCAATCATCATCAAATGTGATCAAGAATGAGTTTTACAAGTTTAAAATGTTTTTAAAACAGTTCATGTGTGTAATGCATTACTGCGATTTAACCACCACAGCTGCATGTCAGTAAGATTATAAAATAATTCCTGTTTGTGGACATTAAATCAGGTTTATTTTGTACATTAACATAATGGATATCCATACAGCTGTGGATATTAACGTGTATCCGGTCACAGTTGCCATGCAAAAACAGTGCAAAAGTAAATGCGCGCTGTGTGTGTGCGTGGACTTTGTAACGACATAGTGTGTGACTCATCATTGCAGAAAGGCTTGAATTAATGCCACAGCAAATACATAAAATAATCATTGGTTACATTCCTCCTGTAGTATTTCCCACAAACATTACGTGAGATCTGCTTCCTTCATTTCTGTCACTGTGCTGTTTATCTGACGCAGCCGAGGTGGAGATTGAGGCACACTCTTACAGGCACGTGGGAACGGTGGGCGGGGATACCAGCATTAAAGGCACAGGCCACAAACACAGCTACAGTGTATTCAGAGCAGTGAATTCCAACATTCTGTAAGGCATAATAAACAATCTGAAGGGTGTTTTGAACTGAAACTTAACAGACATGTTCTGGAGACACAAAAGACTGATCTTAAATCTTGAAAAATGGGTAAAACAGCTGCCCTTTAAAGAGAGAGTAAACATTGAGTAAATTGTAATTTTTGGATGAACTATCCCTTTAAACTCAGTTCTTTAATAACACATTCTAAAGTCTATATTTTCTTCATTGGGTACATTACCATTTAATTGTGTATTCCAGGGCTGCACGATATTGGAAAAAACTGACATTGTTTTATTTCGTTTTTCTGCAAAATAATGCGATATGAGCATAATTTCACAAGATGACTATTAATTCATGATTGGATGATTTTGTAGGCGAGAGCATCCGCATAAAATATACAGAACACACACAAAAATATACCAAGTAAAATGAATTAAAGCACGGATGAAAATGAAATCAATGGAGTCTAACAGTATTTTGAGGTCCAGATTCAATAATCGAATGCAAAGTAGCACTGCATAGTCTTCATTGTATAGATAAACACAATTCATTTTTGTTAAAGCGGCACACTTTTGTGTCCAAATGGCTTAAATTTGCTTGAAGTTGTACAGTCAGAGGCCTTAAAACACATCTGAATGAAAATCTTTCACATTATTAGATTATAGTTAAACATGACTCCACAGAATGGGTGTCACGGTGTGTAGCACAATCGCCTCACAGGTCTCTGGTTCGAGCCTCAGTTGGCATTTCTGTGTGGAGTTCTTTGAGCTTTTCTATTCTAAGTTGCATATCTGTAGCATCCATTGCGTAAAACATATGCTGGATAAGTTGGTGGTTGGGCGAGGCAGTGGCGCAGTAGGTAGTGCTGTCGCCTCACAGCAAGAAGGTCGCTAGTTCGAACCTCGGCTCAGTTGGCGTTTCTGTGTGGAGTTTGCATGTTCTCCCTGCCTTCGCGTGGGTTTCCTCCGGGTGCTCCAGTTTCCCCCACAGTCCAAAGACATGCGGTACAGGTGAATTGGGTTGGCTAAATTGTCCGTAGTGTATGAGAGTATTTGTGAATGTGTGTGTGGATGTTTCCCAGAGATGGGTTGCGGCTGGAAGGGCATCCAATGCATAAAAACTTGCTGGATAAGTTGGCGGTTCATTCCGCTGTGCCGACCATGGATTAATAAAGGGACTAAGCCGACAAGAAAATGAATGAATGAATGAAGTTGGTAGTTCATTCCACTGTGGCGATCCCTAAAGAGACTAAGCCGAAAAGAATGAATGACTTCACTAGAGATGCAACAATAGTTAGCCCACTGTTCAATACATACCTCGGTTTTTTAACACTGTTTTCGGTTCGGTTCTTATCGCTTAAAACGTGTTTTTTTTTAAATTCTTTTTATATTATTTATTTTATTTTTATTATATAGGCAAAAGGAACAGTGAGAGGTTAAGGAGAAAAAAATAAAACTTTTACTAAAAAGTACAGTAGTTTCTAGTGTATTGTGAAGTTAATAAATAATTGGCCATTTTAAATAAACATATTTGTACTTCAGTAAACATAAATAAACCATCTTAATTATCTCGGTGCTGAAAAAATGCGAGACTGTAGTCTGTAACGTGGATCGAGTGCTTTTGTAAGATGACAAAAGTCCGCATCTGCCATCACCGAAAACGGCTGCAAATCTTTAGCTATAAACACCCGCACTGCCTTTGTTATTTTTATGTGTCTCTCGGAACCAGTTGGGTAGATTCAGCGAGGGATTGTTGCTATTGACCTTATTCTAAAATGCGGAAATGCGCCTGTTTTCGCGATTGTCTTAGAACTTCCGATTCAGTCGCCTATGGGAGAAATGACTAGGAATAATAAACGGCAGAAAATGGCCAAACTACTTGCTCAACAAACAAATGTTTGCATGACTACACAGACCAAGTAGCATAATATAATAAGAAAATATTAAATTGCAACATCAAGCAGCGTAACGAGCAGTTGTTAACGTCAAAAAATGAATGGAAGTGAATGTGACCGGAAGTCGCGAGACAAAAAGATTCAAATGGCAGCGCCCGCTCGTCAGCTGAGAATAAGGTGAATATGGAGGACTTTATTACCTTCTCTGCTATCCTGCCTTCAGACAGTGATATTGCTGGGTGATGCGCTGCAGATGTGCAGTCATGGTTATACGTGTAAAACAATGCTTGCACACAGTTAATTTTTGTTCACCATTTTTTCTTTTATTGCCAATATGCTTACTGGCAAAACCGAAATGTCCTCACACCGCAGATTTGAAAGACGCCGGCGCTTCCTGGTACTGTTGCCTCAGCCTCACTTCACCGCCGCTCGCAATGTTAAAGTGTGGAATGATGGTCAAGCGCCCCCTAACTTTAGACTTGAGATCTCTAACTTTTAGGAAACTTGAGTTTCCTCATCTCAGATCATACAGGCACTTACAGGCACACACAGTCAATTCGAGGCAATATAAAACGCACATAAATTAATTAATCGCAAAACCGAGAAAACCGCAATTCACAAGCGCGTATTAAACCGCGGAGGTCGTACCGTACGGTTCAATATTATATTGAGAACCGTGGCATCCCTAGACTCCACAGATCATGTGTACAGAACTTTGTTTTATGGTTAATTATAATGCAAGTGTGATATCTCAGGTCCTATGTGATTATTACAGATTTGCACAAAGTGATGCAGCCTTTATGTATTCTGGTATGTCTCTTGTTAAAAATCTTTCTAATGCATGTTCATTTTTTCTTAGCTGTCTCCATGGTGATGAAGTCATCGGTCGAGGAGGAGGAGGGAGGATGGGGTCTTGGGATCCCAGAGAAGATGAGAAACAATGCCAACTGGGTGGACGTCACCCAGGAGTTTAAAGGAGCTTGTAAAGGTGTGTGTGTCTGTGTTTGTATGGGTTAAACAGACCGTATGATACCATTTTAGAAGGTCAGTGGTTGTACTTAAATTATATTAATACTATATTACTATATTAATTACTAAATAGACCATTTCAGTGTGGCGATGCCATTGGCCCATTAACATTTCCTGCTTGTTGTCAAACTATTTTAATAACTGTCATAGGAGGCAATTCAATTATATCTCAATGTTAAAACAGCTGTCATAATGTTATTCATCAATACGTGGACCTTTTAGGATTCTCGGGATCTATGGAAATTAAACATTTTAAAACGGGAAATAGGTTAGGACTATTGACTCTCAAAATTGTCAGTATTACTTACATGCAGGCCTTTGTTAACGCAGTTATAAAAGCCTAACAGGCTTATTGGTAGTCTTACACAAAGCGGAGCACTGTTATATTATATAAGACCGAAGGGCTTTATTCTGTAAAAACAACCATCCAGGATGTACTTTATCCCACTTGTTATGAGGATACTTGCCACAAAATGTAAAAATTAGACACAAAACAATGTTCTGTGCCATAATAGTTTATTATTTTTTAATTAAAAGCAAAGCTGACAAATACTATAACGGCTGAATGGAGTATACACTAACCTGTGTATTAGTGATGGGAAGTTCGGATCATTTTAATGACTCGGATCTTTGAGTCTCGTTCTTCAAGATAAACGAATCTTTTTTGAGTCATTTCGTTCATTTGGTTCAATTTGCCAAAATATTATTAAAATGTTACGAATTGCTTCCAAACACATCTACAACTAGCCCAAAAGGTTGATTGCACGACAAATAAGTCATAAATAGAATATAAGAAGGAGAAAATAATAATTCAATGTTTACCTGCTCTTTTGTCTATGAAGGTATTGTTGTCTCTTTGCTCAGCTCACCTCTTCATGTCTTCAAATGTCAGTGGTTCATTCACATTACACTGACAGTCACATATAATCTTAACTAATGCAAAAGTCAAAGCCGATAGGAGCCATGATAGTTCGTTGTTTACGTGACAGAATGACTCAAACCCGAGGACTCGAGAGATGAACGGTTCAATTCTTTTTCCGACTCTAAACGCGTATGATTGGCCCGTGATGAACGAATGACTCAGACCCGATAGAGGACTCGAGAGATGAGCGGATCAATTCTTTTTCCTGCTCTAAACGCCTATGATTGGCTTCTGCCAATGTGATGAAGACTTGAAATTAACGATACCACCTGCACAAATGTGATGAACGATGAACGAATCACTCCCTGAGAGGACTCGTAGTTCCCGAGTCATATTTAAGATTCGTTCAAAATGAACGAATCGTTCATGAACGACCCATCACTACTGTGTATTGTTCAGTTCCAAGATGGCGCCAAATATGCCATTGGCTACATTTACATGCAACCAAATAGTCAGTTTGTAATCGGATTGATGGTTCAACTGAGTTTAAAGATATTCGTAAACACATGGTCCGATTGAGTACATCATTTACTCTCCCTTATGTGGTTTTAAAGCTTTCTAGCTTCACAAAAGAAGATATTTCAAAGAATGCCGGTTGCTGACACTCATCTGCTTCCATAGAAACAGTACTATGGAGGTCAATGTGCTCCAGACACCAGCATTCTTCAAAATATCTTCTTTTGTGTTCAGCAGATGAAAGAAACCAATTTCTCATTATTTTTTTGAAAAGTAACTTAATTACCTAATACTTTATTTAATTTCTTGACTCAATGCTGCTTGAAATTCATATAAATCACTAAGCGTATATAAATGAAACTCTTTTGATTCTTTAAATTTGGTGACTCTTAATATTTAGTTTTTAAAAATGAAGAAATGTTACACATATGGATTCAAAACACAAAATAATGACACAGTTAACATTTTTGGGTGAACTACCCCTTTAAGGATTATTATAATCATGGTCAAGAAAGCCGTGAGTGAGCAGCAGAGAGTTACTGTTGGCTGAACTACAGTAGGTTTCTCAAAATAGCCATTTTCCACAAAGCCCTGAGAAGCATGAAGACGAAATATGGCATGTTTATGGGACATTTACATAAATCTGGTTTAAATAGGATTTATGACCAAGCAAAATAGTATATACATTGTATCTTTATACATAATTGGCCACTTTATTAGGTACACCTGTTCAACTGCTGTCAGCTTAGAACAGGAAACTGAGGCTACAGTTCGCACAGGCTCACCAAAATTCGACAATAGAAGATTGGAAAAACGTTGACTGGTCTGATGAGTCTCGATTTCTCCTGGGACATTCATACGGTAGGGTCAGAATTTGGCATCTACAACATGAAAGCATGGATCCATCATGCCTGGTATCAACTGTTCAGGCTGCTAGTGGTGGTGTAATGGTGTGGGGGATATTTTCTTGGCACACTTTGGCTCCATTAGTACCAATTGAGCATCGTGTCAAAGCCACAGCCTACCTGAGTATTGTTGCTGACCATGTCCATCCCATTATGACCACAGTGTAGCCTTCCGATGGCTAATTCCAGCAGGATAACGCGCCATGCCATAAGGCACAAATCATCTCAGACTGGTTTCTTGAACATGACAATGAGTTCACTGTACTCAAATGGCCTCCACAGTCACCAGAGCTCAATCTAATAGAGCACCTGTTGGGATTTGGTGGAACGGGAGATTCGCAAAATGGAAGTGCATCCAACAAATTTGCAGCAGCATGTGATGCTATCATGTCAATATAGACCAAAATCTCTGAGGAATATTTCCAGTATCTTGTTGAATCTATGTCACAATGGATTAAGGCAGTTCTGAAGGCAAAAGCAGGTCCAACCCGGTACTAGTAAGACATACCTAATAAAGTGGCCAGGGAGTGTATGTAGAGTTTTGTATTACATTACAGCTAATGCCTATCCACAGTGATTTTGATTGCTGGTCTGATTTCATGTATGAAAGTGTAATATGGCATGACTGCAGTAATATCTTCTTTTTTTCTCTAATGTTGTCAGTTTTGCCATTTATGGTCCTGTAGGATTCTAAAATTAACTTTCTTTTCCATGCAAGCTTCACCACGTCATAAATCAACTACCACACTGCACCATAAATCCCCTGAAAAGACTATCAGTCATGTTTTATTGTGTGTTTTATTTATTTTATTTTATGTGCACCCTGTCCTATATATTGATGTCATATCTACTGAAACTGTAAGAAATGTGCTGATTAAAGTTTTCTTTTTCACAGAACTCAAACTTGGCGAGCTGCTCCATGACAAGCTGTAAGAATATTGCCATGTTTGTTTTTTTTGAGTTACTTTTAAACATGTTCAGTATTGATTCACAGTTGGTAACGCAATGTTCACCTGCTGATGTTTCTGTAGATTCGGTCTGTTTGAAGCCATGTCCGCCATTGAGATGATGGATCCGAAGATGGATGCTGGAATGATCGGAAATCAAGTCAACCGTAAAGTCCTCAACTTTGACCAAGCTGTTAAGGTAGCAACCAAAAAAAGCTGTTTCACAATCATCGCAATCATCATATTTGATTTAGTTTTCTGCATTTGCTTGGTGTTAATTGCATTACATGGTTACTTTTGAGTCAAAATACATTGAAGTCAAAACTATTCGCCCTCCTGTGTATTTGTTTTTCTTTTTTAAATATTACCCAGATTATGTAAAACAGAGCAAGGAATTTTTCACAGTATTTCCTATAATATTTTTTTTTCTCCTGGAGAAAGTCTTATTTGTTTTATTTTGGCTAGAATAAAAGCAGTTTTGAACAGAAGCACTGTTGTACAATGACTTGCCTAATTACCCTAACTTGCCTAATTAACCTAGTAAAGCCTTTAAACGTCACTTTAAGCTGAATATTAGTATGTTGAGAAATGTCTAGTCAAATATTATGTACTGTCATCATGGCAAAGATGAAAGAAATTTAAGTTATTAAGAGTTATTAAGACTATTATGTTTAGAAATGAAAATGCTGAAAAAACTTGTTCTGTTCTGTTAAACAGAAATTGGGAGGAAAAAAAATATACATATATTATACATATAATCATGGCTTTACATTAACACCCACCAAATGCACGTAGATTTCGGCGGTGGCGGGTAAGACAGACACTCCCACTAGCCACTTTGGCTGGTTGAAAATAATTTTACCAGAGAATAATTCTTAAAAGCAGGGTTCGACAATAAGGATAGTCAAATATGCATGCACAGGCGATCGAGAAGCAACACGACTGACAAAAATAATTGCCTTCGCAACTTCGCGCGAGCAAAGCAGGTGAATGCCGAATGAGAGGATAATCACTCGCGCAAACAGCTGAGGTGATGCGCGCGACTGTTTATAACGCGTACGTGCTCCCGTTTCCTTTTGTGAAGCAACTGTGTCTAGAAACACAACTGATGCGATCGATTCTCTTTCAAATAGACTAGACAAAAAGGGAGGAACATGCACCCACAGTCTTGCTGCTTTCAAGAGTTCCAGAGTTGACTTATTGTAAGCAGCGCCAGTTGCTTTCGGTTTAACCATTCTTTGAAAAGATAATTTATGGGTCTGTCATTAACCATGCGTGTGTGATCATCCTTTCATTATCACACAGTATGTTTTTTACCTGCTTTCTTTTGCATTAATATTGTTTAATTATACTTTTTTTTTTACAATAGCATTGCTTTAATGAGAGAAAAACTCCCCATTTATGTGTTGTTAACTGGTGATCTGGGGCCTTTAGCCAGGACATGTGACTGTGCATATGTTTTGTTAAATAAAAAGTATAGTATTCAGCTATATTTTGCATGTTGTCACACATTTAAAATTTGTGGCCAAGAAATAATTAACTGTTTATTTATATGAAACCCTGAACCATTTGCTCATGAACATTGAGCAAGCTCATACACGACACACAAAAAGTGAAATGAATGAGGAGGCATGTGGAGATAACGCAAACGCTAAATCAAGTCATTTAATTTTAGCATGTCAAAGTCATATTTATGTGTTTAAAACATATTTTCCCAACAATAAAATTGTGGCTTGTGAAAATGGCAACTACTAGCCACAGTGGCTGGTGGTCAAAAAAGTTAATGTTAAGCCCTGCATATAATATATGCATAATTTAGTAGGCCTAATAATTCTAACTTCAACTGTATAGTCATACAAATGCAGTATACTTTGTGTCTTAATTTCTTATTCCTTCTGTCTTTGTGTCTATCTGAAGGATGAAGCCATACGGGTGAAGGATTTAAGTATTCCTGAGCTCATTGGGATCATGGACACATGTTTCTGCTGTCTGGTTAGTATTTTGGGAAAAGTTCCTTTAAAAGTAATGCATTACAATCTTGAGTTGCTTTATGTTACTTAGGCCTCATTTCCACTGAGCAGTACTGTATGTTACTTGTCCCTTGTGTACTGTTCAAATTGTCTACCCTTTCAATATGTTCGGGGCTGTTTTTGCCCCATTGACTTTCATTATAACCACATTTTTTAAATTGCAAAGCTATGACACCATTTATTCATGCATTCTTGATTGTTGGTGGTTTTCCTTGTTGGGAGGAGGTGGAATTTGTCATTTTTAGTGTTGATCATCAGTCGACACAATTAACCCTTTAGAATTGGTCTGTGAAAATAAGCTTCTGGCTTTTGTATGGAGTTGCAGTATAAAAGAAAATTATAGTGTGTGTGCATCCATGCACTTACTATGTTTATTATGTTCTGACAGCTGAGCTGCTTATTTTTTATTTTCTCAAACATGTCAAGGTAAGTGTGCAAAGGTCTCACACACATTATACTCCATATAACAGCCAAAAACTAAGCTAATTCCTGATCAGCAGTGAAAACTAAAAATTGTACCTCTACCCAACAGGAAAAACCACCAACGGTAAAGAATGCATGATTATAGGGTGTTAAGGCTTTGCAGTCAAACAATGCCATTATAAAGGAAGTCAATGGGGCAAAAACAGCCCCAAACATAACGAAAGTGTAGTAAATTTGCGCAGAGTGTATTGTTGTTTTTTAATTTATTTTTATTCCAAATCATCTTCCCAAAATATGTGTCAAAATATGATTTGTCACCAAAAATCATTCCATTTGCTAAAACTAAGAGCAAATTAAGCCTCAAAATCCCTCCAGAGTGGATGAAAACATTCCCAACAGCACACAAGGGTTAAACATTGATATAAATAGTAGTTTAAGTTATCCAAAGTGGTTGAGTTTCCATCTTTAATGTACATTTTGCTGCCTGTTTAAACTGCTTTTGTTCTTATGACTGTATTCAGTGGAGCTGTATTGAATATTCTCTCTCTGTCTCAGATCACGTGGCTGGAGGGGCATTCTCTGGCTCAGACTGTCTTCACATGTCTGTACGTTCATAATCCGGATCTGATTCAAGACCCTGCGCTCAAAGCCTTCGCTCTGGGCATCCTGAAAATCTGTGACATCGCCCGTGAAAAAGTCAACAAAGCTGCCGTGTTTGAAGAGGCAACCAACTCTTATTTGTGTATTCCCAAGAGTTTTGATATATATATATATATACATTTTTTTTTTATTATTTTTTTTTAATTAATTTATTTATTTATTTATTTATTTATTTGTATATATTGATGGATTATACTGTAAATAGAATTTATATCGAATGTGTAATTGATCCACAATGATTATGACTTTACTCTTTATTTAGTGGTGATGAGTTTAGGGTGTATAAGTGTAATAGAGGCCAGCTAGTGAAGTGCTGTGCAGGTAAACCTCACTCTTCTGACCTCAAAAAGTGCTCTAGCAACTGACACTAGAGGCCCTGGTCTTTAGCCTTATTGTTAGATCATCCAACTCCCATGCACAGAATCGCTGGTTCGATCCCAGTTCAGAGCGGGTTGGGTGCAGTAGGACTGGTGGGTTACATGTGGGGCCTTGTCCTGGATGGGAGTAACGTTTAGGTGGGGTGAGTGTAACAGAGGCCAGCTATAAAAGTGCTATGCAGGCAAACCTCATTCCTTTGACCTCTAAAGGTCCTCTAGCGACAGACGCTAGAGGCCATGGTCTTTAACCTCCTTGTTAGAGCAACCGACTCCCTCACAAAGAATCGCCGGTTCGATCCCAGCTCAGAGCAGGTTGGGTGCAGTAGGACCGGTGAGTTAATATTTAAAGTGGATTGTGTACCTATGAGAAGAAGTTTGCCTTTATTATCATTTAATTTCAGGAAATTTGAAGTGAACCAGGATTTGAGGTCTGAAAAGCAGTTGGTAAAGAATGAAGGTGGGAGTTTGAGGATGAGTTTGGTTGATAGTTAAAGTTGGGTTTGTGGAAAATATGACCAAGTGAAAGAAGGTAGATGATTAATAAAAAGAAACCCAGAACTGAACCCTGGAGCACACCGGTAGTTACAGGGACTAATAATAAAGTCAAAAGTCAAATGTTATTTTTATATACTTATATAAATATATATGCAATGTTACATTTTGCCATTGGTTTATTCTGTAAATGTGGATTTTTCTCTTTTGTTATTGCAGGAAGATTTTCAGGCCATGACTTACGGCTTTAAAATGGCCAACAACGTAACTGATCTGAGAGTGACGGGTAAGTGTGTGTTTTTTCAAGTGATTCATGTTAATTAGAATTAAACACAGTTTCTCTCTAATTGTTGTTATTTTAATGGCAAAATCAAGTAAGTTCATTAAAAAATGCACATTTTGTAGGAAGGATGCATTACATTTATTAAAAGTGACTGTAAAGATATTTATGATTTTTTTAATGTTACAAATTATTTTATTTATTTATTTGTTTTACTTTATCAAAGAATTATTCAAGAACTATGTTATTCAGTGGAAAACATAAAATTTTTAAAAATATTTTTTTATTATTAGATTTTTATTGTATAATTTTGATCATATGGCGTTCAGTCTTTTCATCCCTCTGTTAAATATTTCTGTAGGAATGCTGAAAGATGTTGAGGATGAACT